TACTGCCGTGTTAACAGCATATCCGTTTTGTTCTGACCGTGTTTAGAAGTCAGCCAGTCAGCCACATAGAAAGCGCTATGTTAAGAGGGTTTCAGTGAACAATTGATAATTATATGTTATATAGTTCAAACGTTATGATAAATAAAGTGTTTTAGAGCAAAATTTAAATGGCCATTCAGACGCAATTACCGCTTCTCGCCAAGCACTGCGGTATTTAAATTTCCGGCTGTAAAGGTTAAAGCAGTGCATTATGTTCTTTGGCAGTGGAACTAACTAACTAGATGGTTTAGGGAACCCGAACGTTCATCACCGAACTAACCAAATCCCTGTCCTGGGCTTTGGCAGTGGAAGGGAATTTTAATACAAGCTGCATGTTCTGTTAGTTAAATCTCTGCTACAATACGTCTGTTCTTTTGGATAGATTGTCTGAATACCGAGACGAACAGTAAATTTGGGAGAAAGAATGCCACTTTAATTTTCTCTTTGCAATTTTACATATTTCCTTTGCAGGCCTAATGTTTCAAAATTAAATTTGTAAGAAAATCTAAACCCGTTGTTTTAGGATTTAGTAAGTGCCTACAATACGACGAATGTAGCACAATTTATACCTTTAGTAGTTTATGTATATTAACTTCCTATTATGGGACCCGAACGTTTATAAGTCATCAGGGAATTTTACATTTGGACCGTGTTATAAGCCAATTTAACCCTATTCTATTGTCAACAACTTCTTTCTCTAGCAATTTATTTCCATGTACTCGTGCCAAATGGGCTGTGACAGGTTATCCTAGTGGCCTCTTCGCAGAGGTCTCCTAACGAAACTTTTATTGTCCCCCCCCCCACGTGTTTGTTAATTGGCCATTTATTATCGTCTTTCTTTAATTCTCTAGCAATATTCGTGTATATTGTATCCCCATTACTCTGTTTTTAGACAGTGACTTTGTTCTTGGCTTATCTTCAGATCATGTTACGAATTTGTTACTAATAAGTTTCGTGTCCATTTTTTCGCAGGTATGGTCATCCACATACCACGCGAACGTTTCAGTCTACAGGTGTCACATGTTCAAGTGACGAGGAAACTGACAAATACCATTGCACTCTTTGGTATGTATTAAACGTGCATCTTGAATACCACCGTCACGTGAATTATGATTGCTTCGCAGTCCACTTGTCGTGAAACGTGGTCTCTTTTGCAGCGTTCTATGCAAACACCTGCTAAGTAAATTGTGGGCTAGTCTTACCGTACTTTAGCTGTTTAGAATTATATATATATATATATATACTGAATAATGAGTAATGTAATTTATTTAATTTATCTTAGATGTAGATTATGTACTATGTATAACTTGAATTATACACCAACAACTTTGGGGGTACAAAGTTGAAGATAAATTATATCTGGGGTACGCGAACAAAAAAGGTTGAATGCCACTGATTTATAAGATACATAACGAAATTGTTAAATATTTTAACAGGGACACAATCTTTTCATTATAATTATGTTGTTGACGTGAAAATTAAACAGTATTATCAGTCTCTATGTACAACTTAACTGTAATCAAGAATAAAGGGTTCACTGAAGATGGCTATCTTCTGGTAGAAGTTTACCAACTTTTCATAGGTACTTGATGCCACCATCATTAGGACTCGTCGCCCTGATGATGGTTGTAGCAATGAACTGTGAAACGTTGGTAATCTTTTTGGTTCGAGTTGAACCATTTTAGTTTTCACGTAGATTATTCAATTTTAACGAACACTTTACCGTAGCCGCAACGAAACTCCGTGCTTTGTAGAGTGGGAGGGCGAAGCGACAGCACGTCAGGAGAGATAACTCAGTCCCTGTACACTATCGGTTGAGAAATCGTGACTTGTAGGTTGTAGAACTAGAGTAGCCCTTGCGGATTAAGGCGTTTGCCTGCATTAATAGTGTTTATAGTTATTTTTCGTTCAGAAAAACAGTGTAGTGTAAAAGCCAGTGTATCAAAATTCCACCGATTGTGTCGAAATTAAAAGCAGAAAGAAATGTTTTCAGTGACACTATACATGCCGTATTACTCCCCTCTAACCCTTTTCATCCTCCTTTCCCCTCTGTCAGTGACGTAGCTAAAGCTCACAGTTATTTTGCGTTCGCTGTGCAAGGAAGCAGAAATGTTTTCCTCAGTCTGGATTGTAAGGTTTTTGGACTTCGTCCATCGTCTGATGTTATAAAATTACACGTTTCGAGGACTTGATCTGTTCTTGTCTTCAGGTGTGTTGTATGGGAAGAATACTTTCTCTATGGTGTCGTAATCAGTCATTCAGTGACTGATGTTAGCTTTTCCATTGTTAATGTTACTGCATTTGCAGGCTCTTATCTTCAGTAATAATTCCAGCACAAAAGCTTCTCAGTCTGTTTTTTTATTCAACTAAAGCGGACGTATTGTCGTGATACTGATGACCAGTCGCTGATCAAGAAAATTTATCTGTGATCATTTAAGAGTGTTTATATCTTTAACATAAAGGAATACGTCTTATATTGAATATTTGGTTTATGTACATACCATGAATATTTGTATTGCAATGTTTTAAAATGGAAAGTATCGTGTCGTGATGTAAACTGGATTTGGTTCAGCCTGGAGCATACACATTGTTAAAACCCTGCAAGAATCCTCCTTTTACGTTGTTACATGCATATTCATGTCCGTTATAAAATGGTATTTTTATGCATTTGAATGTTTTCAGTGTGAAACGCAGTATGTGTAAACATTTTCACTTAACAATTCAAGCTACAGAGTTACGCAGCGCCTTTGCAAATTACGTATTTAAAAAGACACTAGACGATCCGTGGAAAGTAAAAAGAAAGTATAATATTTCGGCGTCTCTAATCTACATAGATGTAAGTTATATATACACCTATCTCTAGATTTATGAACTTCTGGTGTACGAATTTTCGCTACAACGATGCACCGATCAATTTTTATCATTGAATCTTTATATGTACAAAAATTAAGTTTTTAATAAAGATAATAGTTTATTCTTTCTTACGTAAGTTGTGATGCTTACACTGTAACTGCATAATAGCTGCTGTACAATGTAAAAGTTTGATTTAACACATCACTATGGTTAAATAGGTGATTTTTCTGGAAGTCAGGAGCTAGTCAGAATTTTTTTACACGAAAATTAATGGCAGTTATTTTCGATTTACGAATTTTCACAGAATGACTCACGTTCGTAAATTGAGGGATGTATGTGCAAGCTTTTCTTCAGCACTCCTGATCAACAGATAAATTTTCTTGGAATTTCTTGTAAGAGCCTCACGCCTGTTCGTCTGTCGGCACTCTAATATAATCATAAACATCAATATTGTGGACACCAGTCGACCTGTTTTCTTAAATCTCGTTATTAACATAATTGCATCGAATACAGCCATCTTCGTGTTAACCGCTTACATAACTTTAAATCTTATTCAGTTTACTGGTAATATTTTGGAAATAGTAACATGGCGATCGTATGACGTGAAGTATGTGGTTGCGTACTATCTCCATAGAGCGTATCTCGTATCAGGAATCTGATAGTCGCTCAGTTAGTGTATATATTTCTCACCTTTTATATAACTTGAATATTAATCACTGTGTTACTACGTAAGTCCACCAATAGTACCTGTCGTGAGCGAGATGAAAATATGTATTTGAGGTTTTACTTTCTCAGGGCGACTAGTGTGAAGATGATGACTTGTCTTCTGGGATGTTAATGGACGCCTAATGTTATAAACACTGTAAATGTGGCAACACAGCATGGTTATAACATGCTTATTGATACCTCTCCGTGGCAGTCACCTTGACCCCCATCCGCCTTAGTTTCTCGTCTGTCTGCGAATGTACAGTTCTTAAGATGGTGAGTGGCCTTTGTATCCGCCGAAGGAGAATGTTTAATCTTTGGGCCAACCAAATTATTCAGTGACTCATAATTTTGGACGCTTCGTTCAATAAGTGTGTTCAGTTTGAATAATTTCGTTCTTGGGTAATTGAACAATAACTTTTACAGGCGTTTGCACAATATTATTTGCTTTGGTGTCACACGTAGTGGCCATCTTGTATTTAAAAGTAAATACGTGTGTTGTTTTCGTTAGAATCGGCATAGGTGGTAATAGACAGGTTGTGCTGTTCTTGCAGGACGTCACGACGACCTTTAAAGCCTCGTGCTCAATTCCCAGGGCTGCGAACTTTTTTTTTTTTGCATTTCCCTAATTTTTATTTGATATGTCGTTACCGAAATATTTAAGAAAAAAACAGGGATCCCATTTTGAAAACCTTCAAACTGAACGCTGTGGAATTTGAAACAAATATTAATTCTTCGTCATGCGTAATGAATATTCAAAACAGCCGAAGCTCGCAGAGCGAACGTATTTTCTCGGTCGTGGCTAAAATCCCGCACATCATATTTCGGCGATATCGATTATCGATTATCGTAAATTCTTGGGGGGTCTATTCTTGTTTTTGGGATAATTGTGCGTTTTTTTAAATTTGTTCTGTGCATTGTAAACAAAAATACACATACTTGTGTGCTATACGTTTACCTTCGATCTTCAGCAGAGTCAAAGGATTCTTCTTCTAGCTTCTTGAGTCCAGACCTGCTCTGGGGCCCACATAGCCTTCTTATCCCTGTGAGTACAGCGCGGCCGGGGTGTGACCCTGACCACTTCTGTCTAATGCCGAGGCTTAGAATGAGCAACTAACTCTCCTCCATAGTGAATGCGTTAGAAGGATAGAAAGGGAAGTTATCTTTCGGCTTTTTTCCTTCTTCCACGACGGAAATGTCGAGAGTTGATAGTGTCGTACCCAAAACAAGAATTGGAACTGTTCATACCGCTGTAGGCCACCGATGAATTTATGCACATACTTAATTGAAACAGGTTCAGTTTTAGACGTATATACTAAAATAATACTTCAAAAACTGGCGAAGAATCTAGAACATTAATCTTTACTTAGAAGTAAGGTAGAAAAATACACCGCAGTGGCATAGAATGGTTTCATGTACTTTTTATTTGAATATCTTTCCAAATGGAAATGTTATCTGTTACGTAGGACAGTCGTATATACTGACATAGTTTCATTCCATCTAATTTAAGAAATAAACAGTTTATTTTATCTCCTCCTATAATTTATTTTACGGTTGCTTTCACGATCGATAACACTCCGTATCAACAGTCTGACCCCCCTTCTGACGTTCTGTAGTGATGTTACAGTGGCTGGAAATTCTAACAGCATTACTGTCGGTGAATAATAATTAAAAAACCTGGGACGACGAATCTGAAAACAAAATTACAGTTTTCAATTACCTATAAGACTTGTTTATTTTCTTTAGTTTGTATCAGTTTTCCCATTCTGATTTCTCTCTTTTCACACGACTTGTAATCCCCACCACACATTTTTTGCGCTATAAGTCACGAAAGAGGAACTGAAATTCAATTAAATATGGTAAGTGTACTCTGGGCTCACCGTAAGTGGAAGTTGGGTGACATGCTTGCCTGCAGTTTCTTGCTTATGACCTGAGCTAAAAACATTTACCGCATATCTCTTGATCGCTGTTCAGTAATTCGAAGATTCCATCACCGCCAGAATTCAAAACACTTTTCTTGCAAGAGGTCAGTCACTACACGTTCACCAGTCTCAATACTTCCCACGTGGCTAACTGAATGTCTTTATTTGCAGTAATAGCGTGACAGACCGCAGTACGCATGCGTAATGCTATTCCGCCCACACTCGCGCTTGGCTTTGTAACGGTTCTGATAGTTCTACTTATAGTGAGGCCATTGTATGTGAGAGTTGAGTTTTTAGTAGCGGAAGGATGGTCTCCAAAATACAGACATGAAGTTTGTTCGAGAACGTGAAAATCATCTCCGATGTATTCAATCAAACGTGGTGAGATTTTATGCAATAAAGGAGCATCTACTTATGTTGAAACTGTACGGAAAACTAACTGGCCAGTGGCCAGGGGATTAATGCCAAGTAAATAGCATTCGGTTAGTGGACTCAGTGACTCGTGCGAACAGCTGTTATCCCACTTCTCCCCGTTAAACTATGGTTGCACTTAGTTACATGATCCAGGCTAATATTAAAATACCAAACTTCTCAGATGTCAGCTACTTTCCATGGTGCTTAAAAGAACCTCGCCATGCAGACGTTTAGGGAAATGGATGTATAGATCCATACATACTTATCCTTGCCACTAGATGGAGATGAGTGGCCAGCTTCATGCTCTGGCCGTTTTATCCTGATGGAAGTAGGTTATTTTCAATTGGAGGCTGGTTGTGAAAGATATGCCCTTGCCAGGGAATGGAAGCCAAGTCGTATGGTTTGTTGTCAGGTCACTGTACTGACTGAATTCCCACCTTTTATCGTGTGAAGGCTGTGGTAATGTTATCGTACTAAGAATCGCCCTGTGATGTGAGCAGGTAGGTACGGCCGTTGTGAGGCAGTGTGGGTCATAACCTTACACGTTGAATAAAACAGCACAGCTACACCTATTCTTAATCACGACAGTAAATTAAGTAAGTTATCAGCTTTATTCTTCTGTTTCTTTAAATAGCTGAGAATGTTTCTTTGGTAGCTTACCGTTTGAATAAGGGGTTCAGTGGGATACAGAGAAGTTTTTGGTGTGGCGGTGGGACACGAAATATCTAACGCTCCGAATCTGTACTTGTCAGTCCGCCCGTAGCCTTCAGTGCACCGCCTGACCGGCCACGGCCAAAATAATATGCCATGTTGGAATATAGCCTATGAAAACTGCGTAGACTTGAGGGCGTACACGTGTAGTTTTGTTGTAATTGTGTGTGATACGCCGATGCAGGTCTCAGATTTTATGTACGTGTTTTGGGCGTGGATAGAAATAGACCCATTGTTTCTCAACCTCTGTTTCCGTTGACTTCGTCCCCAAAATCACGTAATAATTTTCATTAACTGGAATCTAGTCTAACTAAAATATAGACAGGAAGTATTTTCTTATCATGTTTTTGCTTCGGCGTGGAAGTAAAACTTGCTATGGGAAAAGACAACGTGCAGTATGGGAAAAAAAAGTAGAATCTGAACCCCTTAGGCAGAACTTGCGGACCTCCAGTTAATAAACACTGAAATAGACTTTCCTCAGCATTGTATCAGTGACTGGATGGGGGCAGTTAGGTCCTAATTTAAAAGTAACTGAAATACTGGTACAAATGAACGCTGTGTATATCAGAGGCCCATAGGCTAGCAGTTAAGGGTTTAAAGTCAATTCAGCTACAGTAATTATTCGCGACTGGCAGCAGGCCACGCTGAAAACAGACCAAAACATAGGCATACAAGATGAATTGTAACGTAATATAAATTTTGATAGTCGAATTTTCTACATACCAGATGGAATGATTCCATCATGACTCTGTTGTCCGAACCTGTTGGCGAGTTTAGTATTAAAGTGGGGGGGGGGTATTATGGCAGTCATCTATATGGATATAGTAGACTCCCGATTAGCCGGGGGCGGATTAACCAGATTCTATCCGGTTTAAGCGAAAATTAAAAGGTAAGAAAATCTGTTGTAAAATTTAGGACGTTTAAAAAGAAAGAAGTACAACAGTGACGTATTATTTAGCATATTAACATAAATAAATTGTTGCTAAAACCTGAAGTTTATGAGAATCCTTTTTAAAAATAGTTGATATGTACTGTGACAGGTGGATGGGTTCTTTAATTTTTGCGAATTATCCGGGAATATATATTCTCCAACTAATCCGGGTAATCGGGAGTCCACTGTACGAATTTCATGTCATGAGTAATAAGTGAATCCATCTTAGTCATGTTATATTTGATTCTTTTTCTTGGCGTGATTTCGAAAACAAAAACGAATCCATCTATTTCGATTCCTTTCGCTCTGGTGGATAATCTGCGAACACGTTCGTCGACTAATGCAAGTTACGCAATTGGGGTTTTGGCCTTGGGAAGCAATTTAAGTGAACTTAACTGACGGAGCCAAGCTGTAATTTGCATCTTGCCTGGTTGTTGGTAGGCGTGTGTTGCATTTTTATTTTTAGTGCATTAAGGCACTTTGGTGCAAGATTAGGCCTTATGGCACACCAACGCCATTTGTTCTGGTATTGCTTTCCACAAATGACTGATTCGTATCGCTGTGTTCCTCGGCCAGTCTACTGAAGGGTTGTGTTCTTTGTACGTAACTGACTGTCCTGGCAGCACGAGTCAGGTTGAAGTAGTAATGAATTAATTTGGTGATTGAGGGTTTTTTTACTTGGCTCAACAGCTCCAGGGATGTTCTTGATGAAGTTTGGTGAACAGTAAATGCTGTATTTGCTTGTTTTTATTAATTTCTCCGTGCTTTTTAAAATTCTGCATGAATATCATGAAGCACAAAATACCGTTCCAGAAAGAAAGAAAGAAAGAAAGAAAGAAAGAAAAGAAGAAAAGTCAGTAGCCAAGACCAGCACGATAACAGAAAATCTAAACAAATTTGAATCTGGCGGTGTTTCAGTTCGTCAGCATATCTACCGTTAGGAAATTTTTCGATAAGGACGATCGATAAATCGTTATTTGCTCGTGGATCTGCGTTTGAACAGTTATTTCGTATGGATTGTAGTCATCTGCCATCACTGGCACATGGAAGTGCAGAACATACATAGAATTCAGTGATATTGCGGCGCCATTGTGATTTTAAAAATAGCTTTATGTGATTCGTGTTAATTTGTCACAGAATAATCTCTCGCCCGCCATATCGTATTTGCTTGATTTTCTAATCAGCTCAGTGCATTTTCCAGGAACACTGCCTACAGTCCAGGTGAGTAATAACTTCGTCAGCGTATCATAACAAGGTTTCACAAGGCACATATTAGTTTCGTCACCGCCAGCCGATCCACGTGTAACTTCTCCGCTCCCACTCAATGGATTTAATTACCCCGTTTACAAAAGCCTGCCTCGGCCTTGTGTAACGTAACATTGCTTTGTTACGATGAGTAACCCTACTTGTTAGGCCCCAGAACAACCCCGAAGCTAGAAACCATCCATTGTCGGCTGTCCGTTATTGCGTACAAGGGGCAACACGAAGTGCGGATTTCTCTTCGAGCTGGATTCCGGTTTACGCGTGCCCCAGGCCGTCCAAGGCAGCCAATACGATCAGCACTGAACCGCGTGGGATATGTGGTGTTAAAATCGATAAGACGTCATATCTGTCGCGCTGAACATTTGAAGTCAATATTTATGCACTGTGACGCATCAAATAATCTGTGTTACGAATTTTAGAGCTTGAAGATTTACTCCGCCTCTGTTTTTCTGGGATGCAGCGATTAGTTTGACCCCTCCTAGCAGTTCCTCGTTGTGTCCTCGCAGTTCTGATAGTAACATCATTAAACGCCACTAAAAGAAGGGACACTGAAAATAGTGGGGATAGTTATGTTGTACACAAACCGTTTGTCGCTGTAAAGAAACGGGGAATGTAGAAGTTGGTTGTAAAAGTAATTTTCAAGTTGCGGTAAAGTGTGTGTGGCCCACACAAAACCAACCTCAATATGCGGTCTCCCGGTCGAGAGACGCTATCATAGCTCCGAATTTATTTCGGGGCGTGTTTTCAGAAGTTAAAAAGTAGGTTATATCATGCAGATTCTCATATTAACCATGATATTGACTGTCCTGTTCACCATCTAATAGTCCTTCTTGAACTACATTTTGCAACAAGAAGCAAGTCTTTCTTGTCGCGTATATTTTATTGGCAGGAAAATGTCGAATTTGCAAACTGGTTTAACCCAAATTGCTGTAAGGCAACTTTTGAACGGACTGAATACTTAATGTGACTTCTGTATAGAAGAAAATGCACGTATATTCTCAATCTATCCCCACTGAAAAAATTGTTTTCTCTCAGTGTGGTTTAATTCTGGTTCGTGTACAGGTTGAGCCTTTCGCGAGAGGTCCAGACTTGACATAAATAAATTCACTGTCTGTGCAGGTGTTGAGGTACATACGTAGTACCTTAGTTCTTATAAAACTGCATCTCGTCAAAGCTGGACGTAATGTTACTCACTGGCAAATACAATTTGTAATTTGAAGATGACTGTCTTCTGGGTTGTAGTGCTGTGTAGTCTGGTAGATGTTTACCAGCATTTCAGAGGCTCTTTCTGCCTGTATCATCGCCCTGGTGATGGAGACAGGAAGGACCTTTGAAACATTGACAAACTTCTAAGAGTGTACACGGCACAACAACCCAGAAGACAGTCATCTTCATATTTACCGCCGTGAGAACCTCAAGTTATGCTTACATTGTAATATGTCTCAGAGGAATGCCTGCAATCTTGTGGCGAATAGTTTCTCTGAGGTCGCTGGCGACGGTGCGAGTCTGACGCATGTTAGCCCGCAGTAAGAAGTCTATGGACTGTATCTGTCAAAGGTATTTCAGGGCAATCCAGTACGCAGCAGTTGCAGCAATTAAATTGCTTTACTATCAACAAACCAGAATAGATTAATCAGTATAGTGCTTGGCAACAGGCTAAACGATCTGGGTTAGTTGCCCTGCAAGGACATTGGCTTTTATCTTCGTCACCACGTCCAACTCGGCTGTGGGGCCCCGAATAGCCTCCTGTCAGAGCGTACTGGCGGATTTATACCCCATGGGTAAGGCGGCTGGAACGTGAATCTGGCCACTCACAGTCATAAAGTGCTTAGGTTAAGAATGTCTTCCACCATATAGTTTTATGGCGCAGGGACAGATTTATCAAATTTTACCT